ATTAAAAGTATACTAAACTTTACACATTATATAGGCTACACTAACGTGACGTTTAGACGGTTCGTTTAACTATTATACGTGATGTACGTTTTGTTTTTTGTCTGTTTGTTGTTGTTGTTTTTTAGGGGGGGGGTAATGAAAGTGTTCCAAAACGCGACATTAATTTCTTGACGACCTAACAGTATATTAAAAGTATACTAAACTTTACACCTTATATAGGCTACACTAACGTGACGTTTAGACGGTTCGTTTAACTATTATACTTGATGTACGTTTTGTTTTTTGTCTGTTTGTTGTTGTTGCTTTTTTTTGGAGGGGTTAATGAATGTGTTCCAAAACGCGACGATAATTTCTTGACGACCTAACAGTATATTAAAAGAATACTAAACTTTACACATTATATAGGCTACACTAACGTGACGTTTAGACGGTTCGTTTAACTATTATAAGTGATGTGCGTTTTTGGGGGGGTGGTTAATGAAAGTGTTCCAAAACGCGACATTAATTTCTTGACGACCTAATAGTATATTAAAAGTATACTAAACTTTACACATTATATAGGCTACACTAACGTGACGTTTAGACGGTTCGTTTAACTATTATACGTGATGTACGTTTTGTTTTTTGTCTGTTTGTTGTTGTTGTTTTTCTTTTTGTGGGGGGTTAATGAAAGTGTTCCAAAACGCGACGATAATTTCTTGACGACCTAATAGTATATCAAAACTTTTATACATTCATTTCTGATGGTTTCGTCGTCGTAGAATCTTGATCTAAAAACTTGAAACAATATCGGAACAATAAACAATAGACAATCGTATCTTGTTGTTTTTTGTATTTATTTTCTTAAAATCGATCATCACACTTTCAACGAAATCATCATCATCATCATATCAACATCAGTTTTTATGTTTATATTGAAATCTGTCATTTTGTTTGTAGTAAAACACGTTCACCTTCACTAGCGTTGTCCTGTGTTTGTGAACTCATGCCAACGACAGTGATTTCTCTCACATATATTTACGGAGAAATTATTTAGATATGTATATATATATATAAATATTCAAATCAACAAGTTTATATAAAACACACACAAAATAACAAAAAGTTGAAAAGAGTCAACTCCCATTCTGTTAATTCATATTTTATGTTTTAAGACAATACTTTGGCAGTACAGAAGCTATTGTCCAGCCTTTTGAAAGACTGCTCGTAAATGTGTCAGATTGTATTTTTGCTTTTAGCTAGCAACTTTAAGTAACCTATCCAGCTATAAACTTACATGTGTATAATATATATGCATACACATATACTCGTGTATAATCATATAAATATGTTAATCTAGAACGTGTTGTTTTTTGTTTGTTTTTGCGACTGTTTAAATATCACCTAATGAAAAGCTTAGATTCTAAACGTTGTTGAATAAATCACCTGATGAAAAGCTTAGATTCTAAACGTTGTTGAATAAATCACCTGATGAAAAGCTTAGATTCTAAACGTTGTTGAATAAATCACCTGATGAAAAGCTTAGATTCTAAACGTTGTTGAATAAATCACCTGATGAAAAGATTAGCCTCTAAACGTTGTTGAATAAATCACCTGATGAAAAGATTAGCCTCTAAACGTTGTTGAATAAATCACCTGATGAAAAGATTAGCCTCTAAACGTTGTTGAATAAATCACCTGATGAAAAGATTAGCCTCTAAACGTTGTTGAATAAATCACCTGATGAAAAGATTAGCCTCCAAACGTTGTTGAATAAATCTCTCTCTAGATCAACATCTTTCTAGCGTTGCTATTTTTATTATTTATAACTATTTTGTATGCGGCTTCTGCTCTTTACGAAACCAGATGTCGTTGTGTTGGCCTTACTAGGTTTCGGTTGCGGTTTTATTCTCTCAAAAGTAGGGCTGTTGTTAACGGAAATTATTACAAACACAGAGGTATGCCAAAGTGTGCTGTGTAGTGAAACATAATTTTTGTGATGTTATCATTGAGTTCGTTTCAAACAACACTAATTCCAATTTGTTTTTAATTTATTTGCTGCCAACGTGTTCCACTTATTCACAAGATGAAACCCGCAGTAAAAGCGTCGATGACAGTTATGTTATTTCGTCGTGAAAAATACACAAAAACACTGGTAATTTTACGCTTATCACAAATCAAAAAATGGATCCCATTGCGTTTTAACATATTTTTTGTTTCCATGAACCTCAACTGGCGGCATTTTTTATTGCAGCAACACTTAGCAGTTAAGCCTTGAACCTTGCAAAATGACAGTTGACGTTTGTTGAATATCACTATCAGAAGAATCAACACTTTGTCTCTTCTTTCTCTTTATACTGTCGATTAAGAACCAGTTTTTGCAGACGATAAAATGGCGCTTCGAAAGCCAGACAGCAGGCAAATGCAAGGGCATAAGCTATCACCAGATGGCCAATGTAAAGATAAACCTATGGAAAGATAAAATAAAAATATTAACATAAAGTCAATTGATGAAGATCATATATGCACACGCGAATAATGTATCTGATGTTTAATCCATAAAGATTCTAAAAACGCTATAATCTTATAAATGAGACTTTATCTTAGAATACGTAAACATAATTTTATATGGAAGTGAGTATTGACATTTATGTCCATTAAACACCTTTCTATCAATTTTCAGACACGAAGTTCTAAATTTCCAAAAGTTAGTAATGGGGCTCAAATATGTTTGTTTTGTTATGAATTTCGCGCAAAGCTACACGAGGGCTATCTGCGTTAGCCGTCCCTAAT